CAACCTCAGCCACGTTTTTTCGACTTTACCACCTCACTTCTTCGAGATGGGGGTCGTCAATATTCTCTCGTCAACTTTGCGGCAATTTGCGACCCCCCGATTGCTTTCTAACAGCTCTGAGTGCCCACTCTTCTGAGGATCTGGCCAAACATGCATCAGATGATCTTTATGTGGATGCCGATCGTTCACTACAGCCAGGTCTGCTTGTCGCGATCTACTCAAAAATATATTTATCACGTATTGCATACATTGACGAGAGGGTAGAAAGCTGATTAACGCTTTCCACAATATAAGCAGTAGATACGAATAATAGCTGGGGCTCAACTCTTTCTATTGGACACTTTGGCACAAAAGGGAAATCGCCAAACCGATAATATTCTTAGATTTTCATACATTTGTGTCAGTCATCGCAACCTTGTAGGAAGGTAGCACGTTAGTATATTGATGTCTCAGGCGTAAATCCAACAGAAACCATCAAGAAGAAGTAATGACTAGACTTTTGCTTAATCACGATTGGCATAAACTTCTAAAGATGGTAGCTGATATGGCGATCGTCAAAATAACAAGATTGTCATTTTGTGGTGAAGTATTATAATGAGTACGAATTTGGAGGAAATAAATGTTTATATGATGATTCAGATGAGCTGAAAAGTTATTTCTTGACATTGTTTTCCTTTAGGTCCTAGTGAAAATAATACCTCCATAAAAATAACAAATTTGTCGTCGGAGAACATATGGCAACTTTGCTGTTATTTTTTCATTCCAATAGGAGAAGTGGAAAGGTATAGAAATGAAGAAATAAAAACAGTCTTCAAAGGAACCCTGCCTATTTCCAAACGTGAATTTTAATGACTGTTTATATCCGGCTGCAAGAAGCTTGTGTGCTCAAATGGTCGCCCCTACATTTGCAAGACTAGTCACTACATTTGCTCAACATGACTAGTGGATCGAACGTTTAGGCGTTGTTGGGTTCACAACAAGAGACCGTCATGGGATAGAATAGTGTCGGAGAATCTTCATTTCAACTTAAGTATAGAGTCAATGATGATATTGATAAATCTGGTAATGTAGTGTATACATTTTACCTGTAATGGTGAGCTGTGCAAATAAATATGAAGAAAAGTTGGGTTTCGAGGAATCTCTTGTTTCATAATTGTTGAGCTTACTTCCATTTCGAGTGGAAGTGTTGGGTAAAGAGATTCGAAGGTCGGTTCCATCAGAAGACGAAGGCGGATTCCTCTTGACCAGCTGTAGATTGACTTTACTGGAACTTTCATGCTGACGCTGTTTACGAGGCAATCTCCTTCGATTTTGGTGAAAAGGTGCTATCGTCCGTCATATGACGGACATCATCAGAGCGAGGTAACAACATCACAACAAAATTCAGGCTTGCGAGTTCATATGACGAACATCATCAGAGCAAGGTATCATCGTCACAACAAAATTCAAGCTAACGAGTCAAGAAAAGTCACTGGCAAATCCCTAAAAAGTGGTATATATACTCTACATCTTTGATCAAGTATAAAGTGATTTTTTTAGTTAAGGTCATATGTCAACTTCCATGCTTGTGAGTGTGTCCGTCTCTGTATGTGTATGTGCATATTTGTGTTCGCTCATGCACGAAACCCGAAGTGATGACTCCAGTAAAGCG